GTCTCCCAGTCTCTCTCCCTGTCCCCCAGCCTCTCTGTCTTCCAGTCTCTCTCCCTGTCCCCCAGCCTCTCTGTCTCCCTGTCTCTCTCCCTGTCCCCCAGCCTCTGTCTCCCTGTCTCTCTCCCTGTCCGTCAGTGGGAGAGTAACTAGTAGCTACACTGACTACAGATCAGTATCATAGATTAATCCCCCACAAGCTCTGCACCTCCACTGTCCCAGCATGCCTCAGTGTAATTGGTCAGCTGCTCGATTATGTTCTGGGTCCATACATGTTAATAGAAGAGATTAAGAGATGCTAGACCAAAGAGTGGAACCAGAATGAGGAGCTCCACCCTCTCTCTTTGAAAGTTACGGGCCGAATGTCCCCTCCCCTTCCGAAATTTGAAAGATGCTAACACCTGTGAAATCGTGATTTGTCCAAATAACCATTTACGAAAACCCAAACATCGTAACTACTGCTGCTCTTGATCCTACGTGTCCTGTTCAGTCCGGACAGATTCTACGGTACCAATTATGTTTACGTAGATCTGTCTATGAGAGATTAGCGTTAGCGCTATACAGGGGACATCCGTCTGTCTATGGCTCATACATATTAATGTATGCAGAATACACACTCCCCAAATGGCCTTACTCTGTATCGCCCTGCATGGCGACCCATGTGGGGGTCATTTGACATTAAATAGACTGCTTGGGTAATTTCATCAGGTATGGGACCTGAAAATCACTATGTGCCCCCTCTAACTTGTCCGCTGATCTCTGATGTGTATTACCAGCCCACGTTTTCAGAATATTATATATAAAATATGCACATAGATTTCGATGGAGGGAGAATTGTGTGTCTGCTAGATGAAGTGGGTAGGTGCTGAAGTAGTTTTGGATGGTGAAGTTTGATTATGTGGCGTCTTATAAAGACATTGGATTGTGTTTGTTCGTCAGTTAGATATTCTTCAAACCTAAACTTCTATGTTTAAATCTCTCTCTAACTTTCTTTTTCTCTCACTCTCTTTCTCTCCTCTCTACCTTTCTCCCCCTCCCCCTCTTGTCCTCTGTGATTCACTAACAAGCACATGTAATTGTAAGTCGCTCTGGATAAGAGCGTCTGCTAAATGACTAAAATGTAAATGTAAATGTACACTTGTCAGGGGTTCCAGTGTCCCCCCCATGTTCCCCCCGACGCTCATGAGTGGAGACACGCCTCAGCGCTACCGGGACCCCTCATGACATGCTCCTTTAGACACGCTCCGCTGTACCCCTTATAACCCTGCTATACCCCTCGCCGCCAACGCCCCAAAATTCGAGGGATCGCCCGCCTCTGTGTCCAAACCAATTAAGAAAGTCATACTCTGACAGAGGGAAGCCAGTGAAAGAGAGAAAGAGGGAAAATGGACAAACAAAGATTAATAGCTGCCTTTTGGTTGTTCCTCTCTTAAACAGCAGGTATTAGCACCTTTTGTGTGTGTTTGAATGTGTGTATGTGTTGAAGTATTTGTGTATACGTGGGTAAAGATGTTGGTGTATATATACAGTGCCTTCAGAAAGTATTCATATCCCTTGACTTATATATATATGTTGTTGTGTTACAGCCTGAATTCATAATGGATTAAATCAATTTTTTTTGGCTCACCCGTCTACACACAATACCCCATAATGACAAAGTGATTTTTTTTGTTGTTGATATTTTAGCAAATATATTGAAATTTAAATACAGAAATATCAAATGTACATAAGTATTCACACCACTGAGTGAACACATGTTAGAATCACCTTTGGCAGCGATTACAGCTGTGAGTCTTTCTGGGTAAATCTCTAAGAGCTTTCCACACCTGACTTGTACAATATTTTCACATTACTCTTTTAAATATTCTTCAAGTTCTGTCAAGTTGGTTGTTGATCATTGCTAGACAGCCATTTTCAAGTATTGCCATAGACTTTGAAGCCGATTTAAGTAAAAACTGTAACTAGGCCACTCATTGTCGTCTTGGTAAGAAAAGGTGCATTTGTTTCCCAGTGTCTGTTGGAGCTGAACCAGTTTTTCCTCTAGGATTTTGCCTGTGCTTAGCTCTATTCCATATATGCTTATCCTAATAAAAAAAACTCCCTAGTCTTTGCAGATGACAAGCATACCCATAACATGATGCAGCCTCCACCATGCTTGAAAATATGAAGATTGTTACTCAGTGATGTGTTGTGTTGGATTTACCCCAAACATTATGCTTTGTATTCAGGACATAAAGTTAATTTCTTTGCCACATTTTTTTGCAGTTTTACTTTAGTGCCTTATTGCATACAGGATACATGTTTTGGAATATTTATCTTCTGTACAGACTTCCTTCTTTTCACTCTGTCATTTAGGTTAGTATTTTGGAGTAACTACAGTGATGTTGATCCATCCTCAGTTGTATCCTATCACAGCCATTAAACTCTTTAACTGCTTTAAAGTCACCATTGGCTTCATGGTGAAATACCTGAGTGGTTTCCTTCCTCTCCGGCAACTGAGTTAGGAAGGACGCCTGTATCTTTGTAGTGACTGGGTGTATTGATACACCATAAAAAGTGTTATTAATAACTTCACCATGCTCAAAATGATATTCAATGTCTGCTTTTTTTAAATGTTTACCCATCTACCAATAGCTGCCCTTCTTTGCGAGGCATTGGAAAACCTCCCTGGTCTTTGTGGTTGAATATGTGTTTGTAATTCACTGCTCGACTGAGGCACCTTACAGATAATTGTATGTGTGGGGTACAGAGATGAGGTAGTCATGAAAAAATAATGTTAAAAACTATTATTGCACACAGAGGGAGTCCATGCAACTTATTATGTGACTTGTTAAGCACATTTTTACTTATTTAGGCTTGCCATAAGAAAGGGGTTGAAAACTTATTGACATTTCAGCTTTTAATATTTAATTAATATGTACAAATGGCTAAAAACATAATTACAATTTGACATTATGGGGTATTGTGTGTAGGCCAATGACACATCTCAATTTAATCAATTTTAAATTCATGCTGTAACACAACAAAATGTGGAAAAAGTCATGTGGTGTGAATACTTTCTGAAGGCACTGTATGTAGGCCTCTGTGTTTTCATACATACAGTAGCAGTCAAAAGTTTGGACACACTTACTCATTTTAGGGGTTTCTTTATTTTTACTATTTTCTACATTGTAGAATAATAGTGAAGACATCAAAACTATGAAATAACACATATGGAATCATGTAGCAACCAAAAAAGTGTTAAACAAATCAAAATATATTTGATATTCTTCAAAGTAGCCACCCTTTGCTTTGATGACAGCATAGCACACTCTTGGCATTCTCTCAACCAGCTTCATGAGGAATGCTTTTCCAACAGTCTTGAAGGAGTTCCCACATATGCTGAACACTTGTTGGCTGCTTTTCCTTCTCTGCGGTCTGACTCATCCCAAACCATCTCAATTGGATTGAGGTCGGGTGATTGTGGAGGCCAGGTCATCTGATGCAGCATTCAATCACTCTCCTTGGTCAAATAGCCCTTACACAGCCTGGAGGTGTGTTTTGGGCCATTGTCCTGTTGAAAAGCAAATTATAGTCCAACTAAGCGCAAACCAGATGGGATGGCGTATCGCTGCAGAATGTTGTGGAAGCCATGCTGGTTACGTGTGCCTTGAATTCTAAATAAATCACAACAGTGTCACCAGCAAAGCACCATCACACCTCCTCCTCCATGCTTCACAGTGGGAACCACACATGCAGATATCATCTGTTCACCTACTCTGCGTCTCACAAAGATACGGTCGGAACCAAAAATCTCTAATTTGGACTCATCAGACCAAAGGACAGATTTCCACCGGTCTAATGTCCATTGCTCGTGTTTCTTGGCCCAAGCAAGTCTCTTCTTCTTATTGGTGTCCTTTAGTAGTGGTTTCTTTGCAGCAATTCGACCATGAAGGCCTGATTCACGCAGTCTCCTCTGAACAGTTGATGTTCAGATGTGTCTGTTACTTGAACTCTGTGACGCATTTATTTGGACTGCAATCTGAGGAGCAGTTAATTGCCGATTTCTGAGGCTGGTAGCTCTAATGAACTTATCCTCTGCAGCAGAGGTAACAGTTTCATCATTGTGCTTGATGGTTGTTGTGACTGCACTTGAAGAAACGTTCAGTTCTTGAACATTTTCCGGATTGACTGACCTTCATGTCTTAAAGTAATGATGGACTGTCGTTTCTCTTTGCTTATTTGAGCTGTTCTTGCCATAATATGGACTTGGTCTTTTACCAAATAGGGATATCTTCTGTATACCCCCCCTACCTTGTCACAACACAAATGATTGGCTCAAACACATTAAGAAGGAAAGAAAGCTGGTTGAGAGAATGCCAAGAGTGTGCAAAGTTGTCATCAAGGCAAAGAGTGGCTACTTTGAAGAATATAAAATATATTTTGATTTGTTTAACACTTTCTTTGGTTACTACATGATTCCGCATGTGTTATTTCATAGTTTTGATGTTTTCACTGTTATTCTAAAATGTAGAAAATAGTAAACATAAAGAAAAACCCTTGAATGAGTAGGCGTGTCCAAACTTTTGACTGGTACTGTATATATACATATATGTATGTATTGGTGTACATTTTGCATTATTTACAGTAAGGGTCTTAATGTACAGTGTGTGTGTTTGTATATGTATAGTGTCAGCATTTAGACTTATTAAGATAGTAATAATGTTTACATATCTTGCATTCCCCATCTCATATGTATATACTGTATTCTATACTATCTATTGCATCTTAGCCTATGCCACTCTGATAATGACATTCCTCATCCATATATTTATATATTCTTATTCCATTCCTTTACTTAGATTTGTGTGTATTGGTTTTTTGTTGTGGAACTGTTAGATTTTACTTGCTAGATATTAGACTCCTTGCTGGTTATTATTTAAAGGAACAGTCTCATATCCCTTTCTCCTGCGTTTACCAGGGACAGTACTGTATGTGAGTAACCTGTCCCGTTGTTCTCTCAGGCCTGTGTTCATGGTGGAGATCTACCTACAGTCGGACAGAGTGTTCTTGTTTGGCGCCAAGACACAGGAGACACAGCAAGATTGGGTCCAGGCTATCGCCAAGGTGTGTGTGTGTGTGTGTGTGGAGATGTGTGTGTGTTTTTAGTCAATTTCTTTACTTGTTTTACACAGTGTAATGAGTGTGGTTCTGTCTGCGTGTGTAACAGTGTGTGTCATTAGATAACACAATATATCCATTTCACCCTCCTTAACACACGCACACACACACACTCACACACACACACACACACACACACACACACACACACCACACACACACACACACACACACCACACACACACACGGCCCCTCGAACCATCAAGAAGACATAGTGTTCCAACTATCTGTGACAAGCTCTTGTAATGGCACACTACACAAAATATGTCCTCAATTCCTTTTTTTTCTTTTATCTTGCTCAACCTATCTATTAATTCCAATTGGTGCTAGATAGTGGGAGAGGTAGTCGTATTAGTCCACCTGTCTGTGTAGCCTAGGCCTTAGACGTCCTCGTGTTTACATATTTGATCGCAATCAAACGTGAAGACCTGAGAGAGAGAGAGAGAGAGAGAGAGAGAGAGAGAGAGAGAGAAGAGAGAGAGAGAGAAATAACGAGATCTCTCGAGAGAGAGAGAGATGATAGAATCTCTAGATCTATTCTCGATCGAGAGAGAGCTGCTAATCGACTCGCTCGATCTACGCTCTTCGCTAGCTAGATATCTCGCTCGTCGCTCTCTCGCTCCGCCTCTCTTTTTCGCACCGCTCGCTCACTTCTCCGCATCTTGGTTTCCAGCTACGCTGCGGAGTGTTGTTCCCCTCCGCAACTCTTTTAGAACCTCCATGTGGTTCCCAGAAGTGTTTGGTTTCCTATGCCTTTGTTTAGTGTGGGTTTTGCCTGTGTTAGTTTTTTGTTTTGCTGTGCTCTAGAGAATAGTTTTTATTTTGTTGTCTGAGTTTTTGTTTTGTCTCCTTCAGTGTTTCGTACCATCTAAAGTAGAGGCTATGTTGAGGAGAGACTGCGAGCTGATTGGTAGGCTCTACTTTAAGGAAGGTCATGACCTCTACCACTGGAGGGTTGGTTGGTTCGCTCTGGAAGGCTCCGCCCTCTACTTTAGTTCCGGGAAGGAGGAGAGTACACAGGGGGCCATGCAGCTCAAACAACTACAGGAGCTCAGTAAGTAGAGACCATACCTAAAGACACACAAACGCACCATGCACGCACACACACACACACACACACACACACACACACACACACACACACACACACACACACACACACACACACACACACACACACACACACACACACACACACACACACACACACACAAGGAGGAACTATATACAGTGAGGGAAAAAAGTATTTTATCCCCTGCTGATTTTGTACGTTTGCCCACTGACAAAGACATGATCAGTCTATAAATGGTAGGTTTATTTGAACAGTGAGAGACAGAATAACAACATAAAAATCCAGAAAAACGAATGTCAAAAATGGTATAAATTGATTTGCATTTTAATGAGGGAAAGAAGTATTTGACCCCTCTGCAAAACATGACTTAGTACTTGGTGGCAAAACCCTTGTTGGCAATCACAGAGGTCAGACGTTTCTTGTAGTTGGCCACCAGGTTTGCACACATTTCAGGAGGGATTTTGTCCCACTCCTCTTTGCAGATCTTCTCCAAGTCATTATGGTTTCGAGGCTGACGTTTGGCAACTCGAACCTTCAGCTCCCTCCACAGATTTTCTATGGGATTAAGGTCTGGAGACTGGCTAGGCCACTCCAGGACCTTAATATGCTTCTTCTTGAGCCACTCCTTTGTTGCCTTGGCCGTGTGTTTTGGGTCATTGTCATGCTGGAATACCCATCCATGACCCATTTTCAATGCCCTGGCTGAGGGAAGGAGGTTCTCACCCAAGATTTGATGGTACATGGCCCCGTCCATCGTCCCTTTGATGCGGTGAAGTTGTCCTGTCCCCTTAGCAGAAAAACACCCCCAAAGCATAATGTTTCCACCTCTATGTTTGATGGTGGGGATGGTGTTCTTGGGGTCATAGGCAGCATTCCTCCTCCTCCAAACACGACGAGTTGAGTTGATGCCAAAGAGCTCCATTTTGGTCTCATCTGACCACAACACTTTCACCCAGTTCTCCTCTGAATCATTCAGATGTTCATTGGCAAACTTCAGACGGGCATGTATATGTGCTTTCTTGAGTAGGGGGACCTTGCGGGCGCTGCATGATTTCAGTCCTTCACGGCGTAGTGTGTTAGCAATTGTTTTCTTGGTGACTATGGTCCCAGCTGCCTTGAGATCATTGACAAGATCCTCCCGTGTAGTTCTGGGCTGATTCCTCACCGTTCTCATGATCATTGCAACTCCACGAGGTGAGATCTTGCATGGAGCCCCAGGCCGAGGGAGATTGACAGTTATTTTGTGTTTCTTCCATTTGCGAATAATTGCACCAACAGTTGTCACCTTCTCACCAAGCTGCTTGGCGATGGTCTTGTAGCCCATTCCAGCCTTGTGTAGGTCTACAATCTTGTCCCTGACATCCTTGGAGAGCTCTTTGGTCTTGGCCATGGTGGAGAGTTTGGAATCTGATTGATTGCTTCTGTGGACGGGTGTCTTTTATACAGGTAACAAACTGAGATTAGGAGCACTCCCTTTAAGAGTGTGCTCCTAATCTCACCTCATTACCTGTATAAAAGACACCTGGGAGCCAGAAATCTTTCTGATTGAGAGGGGGTCAAATAATTATTTCCCTCATTAAAATGAAAATCAGTTTATAAACATTTTTGCCATGCGTTTTTCTGGATTTTTGTTGTTGTTATTCTGTCTCTCACTGTTCAAATAAACCTACCATTAAAATTATAGGCTGATAATTTCTTTGTCAGTGGGCAAACGTACAAAATCAGCAGGGGATCAAATACCTTTTTCCCTCACTGTAGGCTCAGGTAACATATATAGTACAGTTTAACATGTCGATCACATCTTGACCCTGCATGGCATTAGTTATCATCTTTGAAGTGGCACCGTCTCTCTCCGCTCTCCACTGGCATGTGATATTGACATCTCCACACTACTGTGGGATGCGTGAGTGTGCCCTCCTACGTCTGAGAGAGAGTCTCCACACTACAGTCCTCTTTAAAAGTATTCTCAGCGGAGAGCAAAGAAAGTTGCCCAGTGGGTATGTCAGCCGTGTCGGCGAGAAGTTCACACGGAGTTGGCAGCCAACTAGACTTTCAAAATTTCAATTGATTGCACCAGAATGATGTGTAATCCGTTTAAGGCTTACTGTAGATCAAATCGGAATGTCGCTGCGTTCCCACCCCCTCCTCTTACCTGGGGCAGGATCAGAGAGCTGGGAGCTGCCAAAGCTTTCCCCGGTTCTCCCGGCGCTCTGAAATCCATGTTTGTCACAGACGGGAAGCCTCAGAGGTACCAGAGGGTCTCTCTGTGTTCTCTTATAGGGTGAAACGTTGTGGAATCTGAAATGTAAGGAACCCCATCCTGTGACATAGACTTTGCCCTCATTAGTAACACTGACACCCCAAACAGAGGGTTACACCCATTAGTAACACTGACACCCCAAAACAGAGGGTTACACCCATTAGTAACACTGACACCCCAAAACAGAGGGTTACACCCATTAGTAACACTGACACCCCAAAACAGAGGGTTACACCCATTAGTAACACTGACACCACAACCAGAGGGTTACACCCATTAGTAACAATGACACCCCAAAACAGAGGGTTACACCCATTAGTAACACTGACACCCCAAAACAGAGGGTTACACCCATTAGTAACACTGACACCCCAAAACAGAGGGTTACACCCATTAGTATTATCACTGACACCCCAAAACAGAGGGTTACACCCATTAGTAACACTGACACACCAAACAGAGGGTTACACCCATTAGTAACAATGACACCCCAAAACAGAGGGTTACACCCATTAGTAACACTGGCACCCCAAACAGAGGGTTGCAGCAGTGTACCACAGAACGATCATACATGTTTTAGACAGTTTAGAGGCATTGGGATGTTCACTAGGACACAACCATCTGGGCTGCTTTAGAAATGACTCTCTGGCTCCAGTTTAGAGTATACTATGATATATAATATGTACAGTGGGGTTAAATGATTGACCCCCTTGATAAATCTGAGCAATAATGACTGTTCAAAATGAATAATTCAAATACTGAGATATGTTGAATAAAAAAATGTAAATAAAATATACATTATATTATTTTATACTAATACAAGTCATCTTTTTTTTTTTTTCTTCAGAAAGGTCAAAATTATTGACACTCCTAAAGATTCTTATGAATAAAGTAGTTAAAAGTTTAGTATTTGGTCCCATATTCTTGGCACGCAATGACTACATCAAGCTTGTGACTCTATAAACTTGTTTGTTTTGGTTTTGTTTCAGATTATTTTGTGCCCAATAGAAATTAATGGTAAATAATGTATTGTCATTTTGGAGTGACTTTTATTGTAAATAAGAATATAATATGTTTCTTAACACTTCTACTTTAATGTTGATGCTACCATGATAATAGATAATCCTGAATGATTTATGAATAATGATGAGTGAGAAAGTTACAAAGGGTAAACGATCATACCCCCGAGACATGCTAACCTCTCACCATTACCAATGACAGGGGAGGTTAGCATGTCTTGGGTAATAATTTTGACATCTGAGAAAAAATTATATTACTTGTTAAACAAAATCTCTTCCTCCGAGCAATTGTGTTAGTTTAAAATAATATAATTTCCTTTAAAAAAAAGGTTTTATACAACATAGCTCAGTATTTGAATTATTTATTTGATGCAGTCATTATTGCACATCTTTATCAAGGGTGTCAATAATTTAGGACCCCACTGTATGTATGTGTATATATACAGTGGGGAGAACAAGTATTTGATACACTGCCGATTTTGCAGGTTTTCCTACTTACAAAGCATGTAGAGGTCTGTCATTTTTATCATAGGTACACTTCAACTGTGAGAGACGGAATCTAAAACAAAAATCCAAATTGTATGATTTTTAAGTAATTGATTTGCATTTTATTGCATGACATAAGTATTTGATCACCTACCAACCAGTAAGAATTCCGGCTCTCACAGACCTGTTAGTTTTTCTTTAAGAAGCCCTCCTGTTCTCCACTCATTACCTGTAGTAACTGCACCTGTTTGAACTCGTTACCTATATAAAAGACACCTGTCCCCACACTCAATCAAACAGACTCCAACCTCTCCACAATGGCCAAGACCAGAGAGCTGTGAAAGGACATCAGGGATGAAATTGTAGACCTGCACAAGGCTGGGACGGGCTACAGGACAATAGGCAAGCAGCTTGGTGAGAAGGCAACAACTGTTGGTGCAAATATTAGAAAATGGAAGAAGTTCAAGATGACGGTCAATCACCCTCGGTCTGGGGCTCCATGCAAGATCTCACCTCGTGGGGCATCAATGATCATGAGGAAGGTGTGGGATCAGCCCAGAACTACACGGCAGGACTTGGTCAATGACCTGAAGAGAGCTGGGACCACAGTCTCAAAGAAAACCATTAGTAACACACTACGCCGTCATGGATTAAAATCCTGCAGCGCACGCAAGGTCCCCCTGCTCAAGCCAGCGCATGTCCAGGCCCATCTGAAGTTTGCCAATGACCATCTGGATGATCCAGAGGAGGAATGGGAGAAGGTCATGTGGTCTGATGAGACAAAAATAGAGCTTTTTGGTCTAAACTCCACTCGCCATGTTTGGAGGAAGAAGAAGGATGAGTACAACCCCAAGAACACCATCCCAACGGTGAAGCATGGAGGTGGAAACATCATTCTTTGGGTATGCTTTTCTGCAAAGGGGACAGGACGACTGCACCGTATTGAGGGGAGGATGGATGGGGCCATGTATCGCGAGATCTTGGCCAACAACCTCCTTCCCTCAGTAAGAGCATTGAAGATGGGTCGTGGCTGGGTCTTCCAGCATGACAACGACCCGAAACACACAGCCAGGGCAACTAAGGAGTGGCTCCGTAAGAAGCATCTCAAGGTCCTGGAGTGGCCTAGCCAGTCTCCAGACCTGGAACCCAATAGAAAATCTTTGGAGGGAGCTGAAAGTCCATATTGCCCAGCGACAGCCCCGAAACCTGAAGGATCTGGAGAAGGTCTGTATGGAGGAGTGGGCCAAAATCCCTGCTGCAGTGTGTGCAAACCTGGTCAAGACCTACAGGAAACGTATGATCTCTGTAATTGCAAACAAAGATTTCTGTACCAAATATTAAGTTCTGCTTTTCTGATGTATCAAATACTTATGTCATGCAATAAAATGCAAATTAATTACTTAAAAATCATACAATGTGATTTTCTGGATTTTTGTTTTAGATTCCGTCTCTCACAGTTGAAGTGTACCTATGATAAAAACTACAGACCTCTACATGCTTTGTAAGTAGGAAAACCTGCAAAATCGTCAGTGTATCAAATACTTGTTCTCACCACTGTATATTTATATATATATATATATATATATAGTATATGCCATTTAGCAGACGCTTCCATCCAAAGTGACTTACAGTCATGTCAAGTTTTCTACGTATGGATGGTCCTGGGAATCAAACCCACTATCCTGGCATTGCAAGCGCCATGCTCTACCAACTGAGCTACAGAGGAGCACCATGAGTAAAGCTGGGCATATCCACTGATCTGCCTCTCCTCTGTATTAGGTAGAGGTCATTATGTCATGAAATGGTGACTTGCCCAGGGATTGACTTCAGGTCTGATCTGCCTTATCACCAGCCAGGACTAAGGACAGAGAGAGAGAGCGAGAGAGAGAGAGAGACGGGAGAAAATGATTAATGAAAATTAAAGTCTGGTTAGAGTTAAGCTGCCACGGTGTTCTGATCTCAGTGTGCATCCCCTCTCTCTCACTCTGCCCAGAGTGGGTGAAAACACGCTTCGGTGATGAAATTTCACTTCCTTATGTTATAAAATACATTTATAAATACACCAAGACAAATATGATTCTTCATGTTCTGAATTGTTCAGTGGGTCTTTCTCTAACATATCATTAACATTATATCAAAAAAGTTTGGATTTTGTAACCTAATACAGCCGATAATAAGCATTGAGCTCTGTTGACAGAGCGGTGCAGCATTTTCGCAGCAACTTTTTTAGGATTTACATGTTGTGGTGGTCATCTGCAAAGTTGTTTCTGCGGGTCACAAAAAGCTAAATTAGCATGACACGGACCTGAATTACATGTAAAAGGCTTTGAAAATAAAAAAAGCTTACACTCATTGCTCCATTGACATTTCCAGAAATAGGCTTGTTATTGTGAGAAATCTTTGAAAAAGAATAGTAATTTCACATTAATATGAAAAGGGTATACTAAAATAGGAAAAAATACTACGTCGTATCTCAAAAATCGATATCTATCTTACGTCTATATTGTTTTATGTCGAGAAGGAAAGATGACGAGTTCAACAGTGAGCCTGTCAGTTAACCTTAACTCTAACACAGCCCAGCTAAAGTGATGCAACTTTCTTTAGTCACCCTAATGTTGGCCATCCTACAAGGGTAGAAAAACTCCAATAACTTTTAAATGAATTATGCCAGAGCCATGAGGTTTTGACTATTGGTTTTCTTAGAGGAGTATCACAATTATCATAGTATTGTACCCAATGGTCAAATTATGCGTTTTGATTGGACACCTATTGTTTCAGAACAAGATAAGCACATCATCAATTTGTCTCTTCAATATATTTGATTCAGTATTTGTTACAGGGGTGTAGTTTGTAAAATTGTGTATTATTATTCCAAAATTGTCACTGGCCAACAAAGAAACTAAATAACTAGTGCAAGGGAAATTGGAGTGAGACAGGCTTTTTTGCAGGAGTACCAGCCCCTGATTCATCAAAGATAGAATCACTCCGATGATACCCATTAGCAAAACCAGAACTCTTTACGACACTCTCTCTCTCTCTACAGCACAGCACATTTAGGAAAATAATAGAATCATTCACATCGTCTACTAAGCAAGCAAGCGGAGTCACAGTTGATTTCCGGCCTTTTTAATACACAGAATTGCTGTGTGATAGTGTGTGCTGTTGTTACCTTAAAAAAAAAAAAAACATTTATTTCTCTGAAGAACGAAGAAACAAAGCATAACAAGCACTCTTTTACCGGCCAAATCCCAATACTAATCACAGGCCTACAAGGCTGCGGAGTTAGCTTCCTTATCCCAGAAGCATAACATTTAATAACATTTCCACAGCGAGAGCCGAGAGGTGGATAAAGTGATTTTGATGTGTTTGTTTTGAAAAAAATGACAAGCGTTTGCATTTACCTGATAACACTATTTTATTAATAAAGCCTTCTCAAGTCAATAGCAATCTCTGAAGCTCCTGTTTTTTTTTACCGCAGGTTGCTGGAATCAGAGAAAAATTCCTTGCCCTTGAAACTATGCCAAACACAACATCAGCACATAATTTGCCACCAGAGAGTGGTGGAGATTAACAGTTTTGCCTGTTTACCTCCATATATTATTGAGAGTTTCTAGCCTAGTGGTTAAGAGCATTGGTCCAGTAACCAACAAGTCACTGGTTCAAATCTCCAAGCCAATTAGGTGAAAAATCTGTCTATGTCCCCTTGAGCAAGGCACTTAACCCTAATTGCTCCTGTAAGTCGCTCTGGATAAAAGTGTCTGCTAAATGACGTAAATGTATTTATTTTGTAATATCAGTGTTACCAGTGGCTCATCACCCTTATATTGTCTTCTTACAATGCTTGACAGTAAAGCAGATCTGATTGTTCTAAAACAAAGGGTAGTTTGTGGCCAATATGAAACCGAATAAATAGGAGAGAAGGAGATTCATAGGTGTGAAAGCAATTGGTATGTAGGACATAGTAAGTTGTGCTATGTACTGTACATTGTGTGTGTGTGTGTGTGTGTGTGTAGAATAATGCAAAACAGTGCGATCTGATTTGGCACCACCCAGGCGTTGTAACAGCTGACGACCACTGACATCCAGGCTTCATGCCCCAGTCCCCCCCAGTCCCCCAGTCCCCCAGTCCCCCCCCCCCACTGAGTGAACATCACACAGGGACGTCAACAAGACAACGACCAGATGCATACAGTAGTGTCGGCTACACAGGCAACAGGGAAAATGCTATTTACTCTAGTGTGAAGCATTTATGGTTGCCGGCACGATCACTCGCTTAGATTTTTCCATCTCTTTCTGTCTCGTCCCCCCTGTTTTCCGCTGTCTGTGTGTCCAAGCAGATCTGCCTGGGGTCTGTGTACTACATCTACTTCTAGAAGGAACACTTTTCCTCCCACATAGCGAGGAATACTCTTAAGTGCATTGCAGCTATGCTTTGTTTCAGCATCGTCACAGCCGTGAACATACTATTCACGTGCCATCTTCCTTTCCTTTCCTCCGTTGTTGCTCTTCCTCAGCTGTTTCCACACACGTAGAAGGCGAGGAGAGGATCCAAGTGCTCTTGATGGTGGAGGGTGGAAGGTATGTGTGTCCGTGGTTTGTTCGTTCCCAGCCTGCTTTGCAGCGTTGACACTGTGTTCTGATGTGTGTAATTTTTCATTGCAGTGTTTCCCCTATGTTCATTTAGCAGTGGCGGGCCGCCGTTGCTAAATTGTGGCCAACACTTCAAATAATAATACTTTTTTGAAAATAATTTCCGGGATGGTTAAATGTTTTTAGTGTGAACTTAAACTATTAAAAACAGATATAAAGTATGTAGAGAAGATAATGGAGTTATATATTTTTTTATACATTTTGTCTCTGCGGCCAAGAGGAGGGCCTTCAAATGTTGGCCACACCCACTTGTGAATGTCTATTTTTCTAAAAAATGCTGTATATTATTGCCCTATTTCCTGTTTCCTGCTTTCGTACAGAACTGTGTACATCCACGGTTTCAACAAAGTGGACTT